TTCAGCGAAGTTTGTTCCTTCGTATCTGGAACAAAGGATTTGCAGAAAGGTAAATTATGTTTAGTGATAGATTCCTACTTTTACGTTAAATGCGCTATCTTCCTGTTAAGTTTCAGCTAAGAAGTTTATTATTGTTAGCCTGAGAACAACTTTTATGAATCTCTGATGAATCTGCCAAGGGATCATATAAGCATTTTGGCAGAGAAATGAAAAGAGATGTAACAGCTAGTCTTAAACAAATTCCTCCTGAGAAATAAATTGATTAAAGAATTGTTAATCAACAAGTCTGAATGCCCAGTTATAGGAAGACATAAATGATCTCACAAAAAAGCTGCCAGGCTTTGAACTATCATATCAGCAATGAACAATCCTGAATAGAATTTGTACCCACACAGTATCTGCCAGGACTCCCTGTATAAATGGGACATAGTATCCTCCCCTCAATGTGACTGAGGGGCAGTGGTGGGATTCAAGTATGTGAACAACCGGTTCTCTGTGTGGATGCCGCTTCCGGAAGTCCATTCTGGGCCTACCAGTTCTACCAAAGTGGTGCGAACCGGCTAAATCCCACCACTGCTGAGGGGTCCCACATCACATTGTATATTACCTCATGACCGGCTGTAAACTGAGGGCATATAACAGTCCAGTATCTGGGTTTTTTTAATATAAACAATGCTGCACTTCAATGGTTAGATGGCCTAGACCAGTGGTGATGAACCTATGGCACGCGTGCCAGAGGCAACACTCAGAGCCCTCTCTGTGGGCACGTAGACTGGCCCCTGCCACCCTGGCCCTGCCCACCCAGTCTGCCATGACCACCATGCCCACTCCCACTCAGGACCCTGTGATAAATAAGTGGGTTTTGGGTTGCAGTTTGGGCACTGGTTTCTAAAAGGTTCGCCATCACTGGCCTAGACATTCGTATTTGAACACAGATATTTTTGACATGTATATTTTACTGGGTTCTACTGATCTAGTTGAAATGTTAATTTACATTGCTAGTCCAAGTATGATGTGCCATATGCTAAATAAATAAATAATAAATCAACAACTCAAGCCTTACATTAGTATGATAGACTACAACAAGTCTTATTACTCTTTCTTCCTGCTTCCCCAGATCTCTGTAGTCACCAGAGAAATGGAGGAGAGACAAGGAACTTGCTTTATATTCCTGTTGAAAAAGGAGTTACCTGAATGCCAGGCAGATGGCTAGCTTCTTAGAAAGGCCAGCATAGAAGTGTAGGAGGTGCAGGAAGCAGGCAGTAGTTGCACATGAAAAAGCTTTGACGTAAAAAGCTCCTCCACACAAATTTGCAAACCTCATAGGTTGTGCAAATAAAATGGAAGATAAAACTGGCACACCTTTAATCTCAAGCTAAGCTCTTTTTGATAAGAAACAGCCAACTGAAAGTAATCCACAGTTATATAGCATCTCTGTCCATTTCATAGTTTATCAAATAAGAACTTCAAATCCAATGCAAATGGCCAATCCAGGGCCTTACAAAGCATGCCCAAGGCTATAGCACAGAAGAAGCATTTGCTCTCCCCCACTCCAAAAGGAACAATATATCCAATAAAAAACGAGAGAATGCAATTTCTTGGCAATATTGTAACCAGGGTGAGAGACAGATGGGTGGAAATACAGATGGCAGGAAAATTACATTTTGCATTTTTGAATGCTTTTTTAAAAAGAGTTTTAAAAATAGGACATTTTAAGTAGTTTCAACATTTCAGAGAAGGCTGTAAAATATACGTTGATTCATATATATAAATAGTCCTCGACTTATGAGAGCCATCAGTGACTGTTCCAAATTATGATGCACTAAATGAAAGGACATATGACCTAATCCTCAAGTTCCAATCATTGCAGTCATGTGATAAGAATTTGGGCACTAAGTAGTGACTCAACCCATTGTAATGACTACATTGTAAGCCCCCTCCCCCCATGGGCTGGGAGGCCTCAACAGTCTAACCCATAGGTCACCAACCTTTCTCGGTTGGCACAACGGAGGGAAAGGGAGGGGGAAGCATTTTACACGCACGTACGCATGCACAAAGTAATGAGGACGCGCATGATGCAAACGAGGCAGGGCTAGCGCCCATGTGATGCTCATTAGCCTTGCCCGTTCTTGTGTGGTGCAGCGCTGTTTTCACATCCCAAGGCATGGCGGCGTCCCATTTTCATGCACCAAGGTGTAGTGCTGGCCCGTTTTTGCGCCTTGCAGCATGGCAGTGGCCCATTTTCATGCTCTGTGGTGCGGCAGCATCCTGTTTTCATGGGGTACGGCCACGGCTCTAGTGAAGTGGGGGGTGCGTGCACTGGCCAGCCTGTCCCATGGCCCAGTGGCCAGTAAACCATGGCCCACTACCAGACTGCAGCCCACAAGTTGGGGACCCCTGGTCTAGTCCCAGCAGAATGCAGAAATCTGCCTCAGGCTGGAAGACCTCAGCCAGTTAAACTCACCAGCACATGGTCTTCTCCTGTCTTCCACTCCTGGGAGCTTGGGCCTTCTCCCCACCAACCACTTATTTTTCCTTCCTGTGCAGCTATTGACAAGTGCACCCAACCAATGCAAGGCAGAGCTAAAAAACTAACTTTCATGATGTTTCAGAAAAATAGAAAGAGCCTCAGAACGTTGCAAAATGAGCACCAGTCCTTGTGATGTTTCTGAGACTTTCTATCTCTGGAAATATTTTATTTTCTACAGTAGCTGCACTTCAAATCAGCTGGGTGAGCTGAGTTCTTCCAGTTTGTGACAGGTTTTTGTGCGCTGATGGATACCAGCAGTGGTGGGATTCAAAATATGTGAACAACCGGTTCTCTGTGTGGATGACGCTTCCAGAAGTCCGTTCTGGGCCGTTCTGTCGAAGTGGTGCAAACCGGCTGAATCCTACCACTAGATACCAGGCCGCCCAAGGCCTCCCTCATCCTCTGAGGCACTCTTGTGTGGTTGCTTAATGAGCTGGGATTGGGATTGTTAAGCGAAGCATTCACATGGGCACTTTGCTTAACAACCATAATGACTTATGACCCAATTGTGGGCTCAACTGTGGTTGTAAGTTGAGGATTACCTGTAACATTCTCAGAGTAACCCTCAGGTCATGATTTCTAACTATGTCTGCAGGTACAGTATGTTTTGTAGTAGTAGTAATAATATTATTCTCACGTAATCCTCATACAAATTTTCTAGAAGAAAAGATTTATATAATAGTAAGGAAAACAGAAAGTTTTAATACTCAATATATTAAATTCAAAACAGGTTTACAGGGAAAGTGAGCTCAGAAACAAACATTCAGCATTGTGAAGAGTAACAGAACTTGGTGTCAACTTTTCACTAAAGCAACCAAAATGGAGTGATTCTGCTGCAGACTGAAGATAAAATATCAAAATGTAATGCCTGAACCACCTTATGCTCAACTCTGTAACTATTTTCCTCAAGAAAGTGATCTTTCAAAATAATAAAGAACTGAAACATATGGACAATTTTTATAACTGTTGCCTTGTTCATTTGTCTTTTCACAGAATAAGTGGTAGGCAACAACTTTTGATCTGTGAACCAGTTAGTGTATGGGCTTTTAAGCAGACTAAATAACGGAGTTTAGTATATACAAGGCATTAACAGTAAATATTGCAACAAATACACATGCACACATAAACCTAAAGAATATTAGCACTGCCCGGTTGGATTAGGCCAAGATAATTTATTGCTACTTATGCTGATTTACTGTCCACCAGATGACAGCATTACCAACTGGGAATTCTGAGAGCCATAATGCCATTACAGTCCATCTGTTGGAAAAAGCTGGACAAATCCCAACATGCTGTTTCAGTAACAAGGAACTAGATGTCTCTGACAAAGCACATATATTATATAGTGATTTGTCCCCAGTGTCTGAGAATCAGAAAATATTCATGTAGGGATGTCTATAGCTATCATGTTCAATAACTGCTGATTTGTTTATCCCCTATGATGTACTTGGCTTGCAAAATTGTGTTATCTTGTTTAGGTGTGTACGGTCATATTTGTACATCAAGATACAAGGTGATCCCCAACATTAATTAATCAACGGGGTGCTAAGATCATCCAAGTGTAATTTTCACACAGTAGATTTGCTACTTCTTCCCCTTCCACTTGGAATCCTCCATACCTGACCAAAAGCTGTTTCAAAAGATCCCAAACAAATCAAAAAATATTTGGGGAACATTTAGCAGACTATTGAGGAGATGATACTGTTCTCTGTTCCACCTATAGGATAGGATAAGTGGATATGACATATACAGACCTGCACATAAAACAAACTACGCCACATATAGACACATGTACCAATATGTGTACTGAATGACATATACATAACCTTGTTTTGAGATTCCAATAATAAAAAGAACAATTTGCATTGCCAATATCTATATTGCTGACAAGCAGCACCCTTACTCAGAGCCTTTAGCTCTATAACCATCAAGATTTGGCAACATATGTTTAAATTCCAAATTTCTGAATGCTTCATTTGTATCAAAATTTCACCACCTTAAATGCTTATCCTTACTTAAAAAGACAGAACGTAATACCAGTGAGCAAAATTTGCAAGCAGATGGCATACCTAACCAAGCTACTGGTATTAAAGGTATGATGGGTTGACAAGTTAAGGCTATGAACATATAGGACTCATTAATAACTATGTTCATTCTTCTTTAAAACACAAATACTGCAGGTGCAAGCACACATTGAAGATTCCTCAAGGTCCACCTCAAAGGTGGTGTTCCTCGATAACTGCATAATGTTTATTCAGAGTTATCATATGAAATTCCCAATTTTTAAACTGATTTAAAAAGCTACTTATTAAAAATAAGCTCCAAGGTACACTGTAACAGTAAATACCGTATTTTCCGGCGTATAAGATGACCCTCGACTTCAGAGATGATTTGCATGGTTAGAAAGTCATCTTATACGCCGGAAAATACCACATTTTCTGGCGTATAAGACGACTCGGCATATAAGACGACCACCGACTTCGGAGATTTGAATGGTTTAGAAAGTTGTCTTATACCCTGGAAAATACGGTATTCTGTTTAACTAGAAGTTTAACTTTTATTGTGCATACTAAAAAGAAAGCCTTTGCATTTCATTATCTTCTTATGGATAGTCCTCGATTTACGACAATTAGAATTAGAATTTCCATTGCTAGGCAAGGTGGTTGTTAACTGTGCCCAATTTTATGACTTTTTCTACCATAGTTATTAAGTGAATCACTGTGGTCATTAAATGAATCATATAGTCGTTAAATGAATTCAGCTATTCCCGTTGCTTTTGCTTGTTGAAAGCTGGCTGGGAAGGTTCATGTGACCCTGGGACATAGCAATTGTTATAAAGCTCCCAGGGTTGCCAAGCACCCAAATTTTGATCATGTGGTGTGACAGTCGTAAGTGTAAGGGCAAGTCATAAATCCCTTTTTTAGTGTTATAACTTTGAACAGTCACTAAATGAATGGTTGTAAGTTAACCATATGTACTGGCACACGTATAAGTGTTATACTATCCTATGGACTTTCAATATTGAGCTAATTAGTTTTGTCAGAAATATGGTAATACAAGGTAAACCATTCAAATTCTCTCTAAATACAAATACTTCACTCAGAAACCTAAGTTTTGTTCATAAAATTTAGATTAATTTTATTTGTATCTGTTCAGGGAGGAAAAGCCCAACAGAATTCAGGAGACTTGCTTCTAGATAAGGAAATGCAAAATTTGTAGACCTAGATCTTTAGATTTATTGGGAGATCCTTTATTGGGAGATCCTGACCACAGGCTGGAACAGCCAATTGATGGCTATCAAACTGAGAATGGAAATGTGAGAAGCAAAGATGTTATATCTCATGTGTATTTTATTATTTGCACACATCAATATAGTGAAAGCTAAACTCTTTGTTAGTCTTCCTAACAAAGTGGACAGTTAATTAAAAGTCAAAATAAAAGTAAATCCAGGGTCTTAAATTTAAGAAGGAACCCCATGATGCTTAAATAGTCTTTTTAAAAAATATATCAATCTCATACAACACAAAATCCTTCAAAAATGCAGTGACAGTTTTACTGAGATAATACAGTAGATTTATATGGTAAGAATATTTTCAAATAAATTTAACATCCAGTGCCAACAAAATAACAGTATGGCTATAATCAAAATTAAACAAAGCTGATAAATGGTTCCTCATAGCCCTGAGGCTATATATTTTAATTTCTGATATGTAATTAAACTGAAAGATGGAGCACCATAAAAGGAAAGGCAAGTAGCCAGTTTTAAGTAGGAATGCCACAAAAATAGCTAAATACATGTTAAAGTAAATAGCAACAACCTAGCAGTTTCCACAAGGCAGAAAAGAATGTGTTATGTAATTAATGCATGTAAATTGTAGAGACACAGTGAATTTCATTTGCATAAACATTTTAATACTTTGCAAGTAATTCTTCTTCTAGCTGCAAAAGTCCAGTTGCCAATGTCAATGCAAGCTTACATTTTTAAAGCTTTGGCACAGCACAAACCAATGTTTTTTGCTCAAATCGGTATTAATTCAAAATATTTTACTCCCAAGCCATTGTGAATGGGGTTGCCTCAAGTTTCATAAATCAACCCTTATTCAGGGCTGCACACAGATCCAAGAAATATGTACAGGACGGAGCCCTTGTGACAATACAGCAAGGCTTCAGAGTCACTGACTGAACTGAATGAAGCTCAATTCAACTCTAAATAAAATCCTTATCATTGCCATCTCTAGGCAAACAATAGTCATATGACTCAACTGCACCATAAATAGATAATAATAGGCTCTGAGGTTCTTTTAATGCACGAGGCCACTTTTTCTTCAATGAGACAGCCCAAACCAAAAGGATTAAGTATCAAATTTAATTAATAATAATTCTTGTTGTAAAGCAACTTTCCTCAACCTGATGCCTCCACCAATCCCATTTATGAGACCTGGGAATAATGGAATACTGCAGACCAATTCAAAGTTTGAGGAGAAGGCTGCCATTCAGTACAGGTGAGAAAAAGGAGAGGCGGGAAAAATGGGGGGGGGGACAGATATCCTTTTGCTAGCCTACGCCTGCCGCCTTACAGCAGTGTTATGACTCCATAACCCTACCCACAGCTGGCAACCCCGCCATCGCCTTTTGTCCTTCCTTAACGTTTTAAGGTGGCTCTCGCCAAACTGTAACCCTCCCCTTCTCCTTGCAAGGCAGCCTTTAAAAAAAGCACAACAACCTGTTCAATCAATACGCGGCATCAAGGCAAGAAGAAAGAGGAAACGAAGCAGCCGCTGGGCAAGTGGAAGGAAGAAGAGGCAGAGCGAAAAGAAGAGAACTTCAAAGGCAGCCGAAGCGGGACTGGAAGGACGAGGAGGAAGAGGAGGAGGAGGAAGAGGAGAATGGATCTTTCGGGCTCTTCCAGGCTTTGGCAACCGACGGAAAGTGATGTAAACCCCGCTTTGCGCAGCCTTGCCTGCACGTGATGTGCCCGATTCTCAAGGGGGGGGAGAAAGAGACCGTGTTTAGACGGCGAAGGAGGAAAAAGCCCCCAGAGGAAGAAAGAAAGAAGCTCGCACGAAGTTTTGGCGCACAGCGAAGGCGCATATCCGTGTGATTTCCGCCCGAGAGGGAGCCCGGCGATGCGGGCGCCAAGGCAGCGCAGGGCTTGCCAAGAAAGAAATCCTGCGCGCCCGCCTCCGCCTCCTCCTCCTCCTCCAGGTTTCTTCGGGGAAGCGAGATGGGCGGAAAGGCGCTGGGAGAGCCTCTCCGGCTGCCCCGGACCAAGGAAGGGAGTGGAAGGATCAATAACCAGGCAATAACCGTTGCTGGGTCGCAGGAGGAGGCGATCGAGCGGGAGAGGAGCAGCAAACAGAGCGGAAACCAAACCACGCTTCCCCCGCCTGAGACGAGCTGGCAGCCGCTGCCTCGCCCGGCTTTCGCCTGCCCTCCGCCGCTGCCTCCGCAGCCGCCTACCTGAAGACCGCCTCTTCCTTGAACTCCTTGCAGGGGGGAATCAAGCCGTTCTTTTTGTTAAAAAGCTTCTGCAACAAAGTGGGTGTGGGAGGCATTTTGGGAATGCGACGCTCTGTCCCGGCAGGGAACAGCCCGTGCAGCGATCGCCCTTCGCAGCTGGGGCAGCCAGCTCAGTTCCTCGAACCCGACTCCATTCGGTGTGACAGTCATATGACAAAAATTAATCACTTGCAGCAGCCGCGGCTGAAGAGAAACGGGAGGGGGCGGGGGGCGGGGCTTCGCGCGGGTTTCCCCGGCCGCGGATTGGCTGGCCAGGCCAACTCACGTGGGGCAAAACCGTATCCCTGCTTGGCTCGGCGGCGCGGCAGCCCTGGGATGTTTTGGTGGGAGAGAAACCGGGGGAGGGGACGGGGGGGGGGGGCGAGGACGCTTAATTCGGATTCTTCCGCCAATTTTAGCCCCGATTGGTTTACCTCCATCTCATGAAGCCCAAGGGAACTGTGCTCAACCGGGACCAATTGAGCATCCGTCTCATAAATCTTAAACAGCGATCCAGATCACAAGAAGGCAGGGAAGACTAACATGCTCTATAAAGATCATTTTTAAATATATATTGTTGGGAACTCCCTCCACTCCCCCCCCACTCCCCTAATTTCTGCTCTGTTTCAATTCTGCTCACTTAGGAGATGCCTCTAATTACCTTGGCTCTGGAAGTCAAAAGTGCCAAGAAGAAGGGGAGGAAAAAAATCTTTCGTTTATGTTAGCAACTGACTGAAACGGGTTACAGAGTGATTGTGCTAAAATATTAATTGTGGGTGTTATGAAAAGCATTTCCCTAAAATAATCCTCTCAGTTAACAAATTACCCGGAATCAAAAGTCTAGATGGGCAAGACCGCCAGCAATTGAAGCTGAGCACTTTTCCCTTGAGAGCTGAAGACACTACCCACAAGAACCTACTTCGCTGATGTCCCTCAAGCATCACCATTTAATATAAGTTGCCCCAAGAAAGGGAGACTGGGGAGTCACCCAGAAAGTCCTACATCTCATCAGATAGGAGTGACCTTGAATCTTTAGCTTCTCTTGTCCAATACAAATGAGGGTCCTTTACTCCAGTGGTGTGCTAGGTATGAGTGTTCCAATGATGACAAAACTGCACATCCAGTGATTCAAGGTGCAAGTGTCGCAACACAGCTCTGGATGTAGTGGACCACACACAAATGCAGTCTGCTCTTCAGGAAATCGATCCCTGCATTAGACTGACTATGACACACGATGAGCACATTGGTCAGAATTATTCATCTGCTTCTGGTTAGCTGCTTCCAAAAAGAATTTGTGCTGGGGATGTAGAAATCCCAGAAAAATATGGAAAATCCCAGCACACAAAAGTGTTGATTTCTCTTCCCATACACAAAAAGTTCCTAACCTTGGTAAAAGGATCATGAAAGACGACAAGGCTGAAAACAGAATATTTAATGTTGCAACATTTACTTTAGATCTCCCTTTCATCCTCTACCTGAGTGGTGGTGAACCTATGGCACAGGTGCCAGAGGCGGCACCCAGAGCCCTCTCTGTGGGCACGTGCGCTGTCGCCCCAGTCCTAGGCCTTCAGATGGGTTTTATAAAACCTTTTCGCTTTAGGCCTCCACCGCCATGTGCAAAAATAAAAAGGTTCAATCAATAAATAAATTTCAACTTCTCACGGAAAAAAAAAAGATCTCGCAAAGTTGGACTTGACTGATTGAACTTTTTAGTCCCACCCAGTCTGCTGTTATCACCACAGCCACACCCACCTAATGGGCCACACCCATCCGGCACCCGATGATACATAAGTTTTGGGTTGCAGTTTGGGCACTCGTTCTCTAAAAGATTCGCCATCACTGCTCTACCTTATAGGCAAGGCATATAGTTCCGGCACCTTTTTTGGATGGAACCTTGTAGGGTAGGCAAGGCAGGTTGTATGACGTGTGTGAGTTCCGGCACCTTTTTTTTTTCTTTACAAAAAAAGCACTGCATATAGCAATAGCAGTAGTACTTAGACTTATATACCGCTTCACAGTGCTTTACAGCCCTCTCTAAGCATTTCACAGAGTCAGCCTATTGCCCCCAACAATCTGGGTCCTCATTTTACCAACCTCGGAAGGATGGAAGGCTGAGTCAACCTTGAGCCGGTGAGAATCGAACTGCCAAATTGCTGGGAGTCAGCAGTCAGCAGAATTAGCCTGCAGTACTGCATTCTAGTTATGCTTAAAATCCTACAAGCTAGACTCCAGCAGTATGTGGATCGAGAACTACCAGAAGTACAGGCAGGATTTCGAAGAGGCAGAGGAACTAGAGATCAAATTGCCAACATATGCTGGATCATGGAGAAAGCTAGGTAGTTCCAGAAAAACATCTACTTCTGCTTCATTGACTATGCAAAAGCCTTTGATTGTGGGGATCACAACAAATTGTGGCAAGTTCTTAAAGAGATGGGAGTACCAGACCATCTCATTTGTCTCTTGAGAAACCTATATGCGGGTCAAGAAGCAACAGTGAGAACCGAACACGGAACCACTGATTGGTTCAAAATTGGCAAAGGAGTCCGGCAAGGCTGTATACTGTCACCCTGCCTATTTAACTTATATGCAGAGCACATCATGAGAAAGGCAGGGCTAGATGAATCAAAAGTTGGAATTAAGATTGCCCGGAGAAATATCAACAACCTAAGATATGCAGATGATACCACTCTAATGGCAGAAAGTGAAGAGTAACTAAAGAGCCTCTTGATGCGGGTGAAGAAGGAGAGTGCAAAAGTTGGCTTGAAATCAACATTAAGAAAACCAAAATCATGGCATCCGGCCCTCTCAATTCCTGGCAAATAGATGGGGAAGAAATGGAGGTAGTGACAGATTTTATTTTTCTGGGCTCAAAGATCACCTCAGATGGGGACTGCAGCCAAGAAATTAAAAGACGCTTGCTCCTGGGGAGGAAAGCTATGGCAAATTTAGACAGCATTCTAAAAAGCAGAGACATCACCCTGCCAACAAAAGTGCGTATAGTCCAGGCCATGGTTTTCCCAGTTGCAATGTATGGCTGTGAACGTTGGACCATAAGAAAGGCTGAGCGCAAAAGAATTGAGGCCTTTGAACTATGGTGCTGGAGAAGACTCCTGCGAGTCCCTTGGACTGCAAGGCGTTCAAACCGGTCAGTCCTAGAAGAGATCAACCCGACTGCTCTTTAGAAGGCCAGATCCTGAAGTTGAAACTCAAATACTTTGGCCACCTAATGAGAAGAAAGGACTCACTGGAGAAGGGCCTAATGCTGGGAAAGATTGAGGGCAATAGAAGAAGGGGACGACAGAGAATGAGATGGCTGGATGGAGTCACTGAAGCAGTAGGTGTGAATTTAAATGGACTCCAGAAGATGGTAGAGGACAGGAAGACCTGGAGGAACGTTGTCCATGGGGTCGCGATGGGTCAGACACGACTTTGCAATTAACAACAACAACTGCAATCTAACCACAGCACCACCGCCATGACTTACAACCATTCATTTAACAACTGTTCAAAGTTCCAGTAGTGCTGAAAAAAGGAAGTGGTACTTCCACCTATGACCACTGCGGTATCCACATGATTACGTTATTAAAATTCAGATGCTTGGCAACTAGTATGTATTTACAATGGTTGCAGTGTCCTGGGGTCAGGTGATTCCCATTTGCAATCTGCCAAACAACTTCCAACAAGCAAGTTGGTGGAAACTGGGTATGCTTAGTAACAATATGATTTGTTAAACAGCCACAACAAGGAAGATTGCAAAATTGGGCATAACTCACTTAATCACATTGCTTAGTAATGGAAATTCTGGTCCCTACAATTGGGATTGTAAGTCAAGGACTACCTGTATACCCAAAAGTTAATTAAGTCATCTTGGCAATTGAGACACAAATCCTTTCCTCCCTGGCAGTACACCTACAGTTAAAATAAAATGATTAACAATCTACATCCCCTTTCTGATTCCAAACACCGGATGCCCAAGTTGGCCAAATGGAAGTCTTGATTCTGGAAGTTCCTTCCCTTGCTATCTTTATGGCTACATTTTCTAGGTGGAGTTGCTGCCCATTTGGAAAAATCTAGGTCTGGGCTGAGAAGATGATGCTGTACTGATCTGGGAAGATGCTACCATGCAATGGCTCCCCCGTGACAAAACTAACTGGTGAAGCTCTTAGCCATTTCTAATCAAAGTAAGTAGTCCAAATCAAGCCATTAGCTCTCTTATTATATCAATCTGAAATATAAACATAAAATACTGCTGTGCTCCTTTGGATGAGCTGCTTTAGGAGATGTATGAATATATCTTCTATGTGTTGTGTAAGATGTACTATTCTGGTCATTCAGCAAACCACCATTAAAATCCTAGCTTAACATTTAGAGACAATTAAAAAAATATTCTTCCTAGTTTGAGTTAATCATATACATTAACTGCCTCTGCTTCATATACCCTTACATATTTTTATTTCTCTCGGTTTTCCTATTTGCTCAACTTCTAGGAGGAACAGTCTCACTTCCCGGTTTTGAAACAAAGGAGATATTTTGTCACTGTTGCTCCAAGTTCAAAAAGCCAGATGTGGGTGGGGAGAGTGGTTTTAAAGGTGCTCAAAACTTTTTGCCAAGATTTTAAGTCTACCACTCTTCTCCAAAAATTACTCCCTGAAGAGCCATGACTCTCGCCATCCTTATTTTGAGGGACTCAAATCTACTGATTTGGTGATGAAAAAGACTGGGAGATTTTAGTACCAGTTTTGACGTAAGGTTGGTTTTATGATTAGGATGTTTTTCCAAGCATAGAAATTAATATATGTGAGAAACTATGCTATGTTCAATTGTCAAAATAAGAGAAAATATATTCTATAGACCACGGGTGTCAAACTGCCGGCCCGTGGACCGGATGCATCATCCTGAAGCCCCATTGCCGGCAATGGCAAAACCGTCCCGATACGTTGCACGATATCATATGATGTCATGAGTTTGACATGTCTGCTATAGACTGAAGGTGACAGCTGAGATGTGTCTTAAATGCAGTGTCAGGGGATCAAAAAGTCAAACGCTTTAATCCAGTATTTTCATTCATTTTGGGTGTGTGCTTGAGTCGATTCCTGGTGACTACCTGAACAAGTCCCTGAAATTTTCTTGGCAAGATTTTTCGGACCTGGTTTACCATGGTCTTCTTCCTGGGGCTAAGAATGATTGGCCCAAGGTCACCTAGTTGTTTCTGGGCCTAAAGCAGGAGTAGAATTCATGGCCTCCCAATTTCTGGGATGGTGCCTTAGCCACTATACCAAATTAGCACTCCCATATTTTGAGGGCCAAGGAAATGGTCATTCTACGTGATTCTCAACAAAGCCCATAGGCCTACACAGTTCTTCCTTTTGTTCTGTTAGAAGTCCAAATAAATATCATATTCATTTCTTTGGGAACAAGTTAAAAAGTGATGGAGAAAAAAATGGTAAAACATTCCATTGAGTTAGGAAAGAAAAACTAAGGATTTGGTACCTTACCTACACGTTTTCTCTTTGAACATCATGTATAATTTTGTAATGCTAACAAAGCAAGTATATAAAACTTTCATATTTTTCTCTATTATATTTGAGCTTTATATAAAGTTTTATTTAAAGTTTTAATGAATCGTTAAAATTTATAGACTTTTAAACTGCTTAAATGAATCTTTTAATCTGTTTATATACTAATGCAAGATTGAAAATGGGCCATTTTAAAGTTATGCACTGATAAGTCAGTAAGCAGTCAAGTCTAAACTTAAATTGTAGAAATGAAACATGTTAAATATGATAGAAATAGATAGTTTTTCAGGTTATATTTGATTTTTTTTTTTAAAAAAAATATTAAAATGGCTTGCAACTTCATTGTTTTGAAACCAGAATGTGATAAACTTTGCAGTTACAACAAGGGGAGAAGAACCACAAATTTCACACAAATAGAATTTGTGCAAAGGGACTTGAGTGCTGATGAGAAGTCATGAGGCCAGTCAAAAGTAAAACAGAAGAACTTCTTCAATCTTTTTTCTATTTCTTACTCCTGTGAAACATGGTGCTATGAATATCAAAATTGTATGGCACAGAGTAAAGACTTGGTAGTAGATATAACAGTCGCTGAATATAATGCTTTTTCTGCCCCACTCCAATTTATATAGGGAAACCAATTTGGTTTAGTGTTTAAGGCACCAGGCTAGAAACTGGGAGAGTGGGAGTTTAAGTCCACCCTTACCCATGAAAGCCAGCTGGGTGATATTGGGCCAGTCGCACACTCTCAGCCCAACTCACCTCTTAGGATTGTTGTGGGAAAAATAGGAGTAGTATTAGATATGTTCACCACCTTGAGTTGTTTATAAAAAATAATAAAGGTAAGATACAAAATCAATGACTCAATCAATATAAACAGACATTTCTTTTTGTGTCGGCAACTGAAGCCCCCTTTTGTGTACTGCTGCAAGCCTGAAAAATAGTTTAAAATACTCTAATTCTAAGCAGGAATTCAAAGAAATTGAGATCCATCTTCTCTGCTCCGTAATAAGGAATATCTAGCCTTAATGACACTTACATACGAACAAAATGAAACTTTTTCCAAGTTAGGGACAAAACAGAATTTATAGTTTGTTCAGTTTCAATTGTGTGAAATTTCTATAAAGCCTGGATTAGATTGCCCTCAGCCCTATTGGTCTTTTGCGAGGTCCTGAAGATGTGACTTGGCCACCAGACTTGGCAATCCAGTGGTGTAATAGAGCTTCTTCTATGATTGTATTGAATTTGATTCAAGTTTTGGTAACCTGGTTTTTTATTGTTTTATGGTTTTAATATGTTTTTTAAACATCTTATATATTTTCTGTTTTTTATATTATACTCTGTTGTTGTTTTTTACTGTTATGAATTTTCTTCTTCTTCTCCTACCTGATGGAGCAAACCACTAATATATAAAATGAGAGTAAATCCTAGTCCCTACTAGCATTGATGCCATTACTTAGTTTGGTAATGAAATGTGTGCAAAAAAAAAAAAAAAAAAGCTCAGAGAGCACCAAGAACCTCAAAGTTACCTGGAAAGTAAAACTGAAATACAGAATGGGAAATAGAATATCAACTCATGCATGAAAACAAATGCACAAGACTGGACTCCAATGCCAGAGTCCATGGCATTCCCATATAGTACATTATATACTCTCTTAACATTAAGTGAGTCACAACTAAATAGATGAAATGATAAGGACCATGATCATAGATTGCAAGCAAAATGTAACCTCCAGCACATGTCTACAATTCATGTTTCAGTCATACTTCTAAGTTTTTACTTGATATGCAAGCCATCCAGTAGTGACTAGACACACATTAGTCAATCCTATGTTTAATAGTGTGTATCTGTAGAATAAATGATATTGTTTCCATCTAATTTTTCAGTCAAATTAAACTGAATAGCTGTCTTTTATTGTTCTATAAAGCAAGGGCTTTTGATAGGAACAATCTCTCTCATTAGCAATTTTGTGTTATGTAAGATGAACATTTGAACTGACACCATGAAGGACTACATTGTGGAGATTATTCTTGACTGGAATCAGAAGCTTGCTGGATATGTTGCTGTGCTTATGTCAACACAACTGAAGACATCCATCAGAGGAGAATCTTCATTATAAAGTGACCTTGACCACATTAGATGTTTTGGAAAATAACATCAAGGGAAATCAGAAGTGAGTATTAAGCTTCTCTTTCCACTGGTATAACCCTATGACAAAGGCAACAAGAGCCAGCAAAGATTTACTTTGTCTTGGTGACTTTTTCACGGAATAGCCAGTAAAATTGTTCTCCAAAAAGGTTGTGCAAAATCAAATCAGGCATAATAAGGAACATTGGTTAGTTTACAAAAGGCAACTGCTGCTTCTGATCTCCTCCTCACAGCAACTTGAAGCTTCTTCCAGCCACCAACCACCCTTCAGTTTTTGTAAGTATATTAGATACTTTACAAATCAAAAGGTATAACATTATATCATTGACAAATTTTTAAGAACAGTCTTTAACGTAGAGGGAGAAGGATGAGTAAAGCAGAACACAAGTTTCTAGATTTGCCCAGCACACTGAGTCACCAAGAAGCAAAATACGTTTTAGCTTACTCTATTCTGCAAACTCAACCTGATTTGTTTAATTTTATAATTCAGTGTGTTGTGTTAGGCCAGAAAATTGGGGTAAATAAACCTTGATAAACATGTAAGGAGAACAGTACCATGGAAGCTTCTTTATCAAAAGTAATACACAGAAGAGTCTCTTTAAAGTGTAGCAGTGAAGATTAACATTTTGTCTTGAAACCAGTTGAGGAAAAGAAGTAACTCTGTTAAAAAGAACAGTGCTAACAAAAATAATTTATTTTTTTACATATTCATAGGACAAAAGTATTAGAGCTTCACATTTTAATTTACATTCAGTATAGCTGAAACAAAAAGTAGAAGCAATCATTCTGAATTAACTTAAATACAAATATTTCAGTTTAGCTGAATTTAGGCTAATACCTCTGAATAAGATATATCAAGGATTACTATATATATATATATATATATATATATATATATATATATATATATATATATATATATATATATATATATATATATATATATCTCATACAAAGATATATACACTAGTTTAAAAAATGTAATTCAAAACATGAACACTAAACTTATTATTTTACAGTCAATAATATTTTTACTTATCAAAATACATGTATCCGAAAGTATATTTTCCCCCATTATTTTTTTTAAATTATCATCAGGTTTCAAATTTACAAAAGCCAGGTATTTACTTTAATTATATGCATCTTCCATTTTCTCAATTTCCCATTTCCCCTTTTTTAACTTATTCCAATAAAATTTAATGCCCATGAATTTTGCTAATTATACCTGCTGATTATAGTAGATACTGCAGCAGGATCCAAAAGGTTCTCTGCTTAGTTTCTTCCCTGCTTTGGTGAGGGAACAACTGAAATGTTCAGCTACCATTACCACAGGTCCAGTTTTCTGAGCTTGTAATAATATCTGGAATATAAATAATTTTGTATTGGGATAAAATCTCTCTGTTTCACCTTTGGAGAAAATACATCAGTACTATATTGTTGAACTTGGGAACAGCACTACAACTGTAGAAAAGTCAGAACTGTAAATGGAAATACGTCTTTAAAAATGCAATGCCTGGTATAACAAGAAATTTGGATAGCATAAAGCAGAAAAAGCAGTTCTTATAATATACTTTTTGGTAACAGATAAGATACATAAACTGCCATCCTTTGAGAGTAACAATCTCCCATATATTTTCTTATTATAATTATTTCTAGACAAAAAGGTACTTTGATGCTCAACATCACCAATTTTACTTTTGCTGATTATGTTAGACTGATTAATTAATCAATTAGACTAACTTTTAAAGGTAAAAATAGAACTAACTAAATAGCTTTTTGTGTTAGAAATGATTTGCCCACAAATTACTCTATGAATTTATAGTCAAGAAATAATCTGAACTCAGGAGCTAATCTCACATTTTGTTCAATTCATTTTCCAAGCAATTTGTATTGTAGATTCACTCCAAGTCTGGAATTTGTTCTGAAGCTTTTATCCCAAACTATCTCAAACTATTTTCTGCATACGGAATCTGAAAGCATGTTACCTATTTAAGATAGCTCATCATAATATTTTCTTTCTCTTCCTTTTACCTTCAGTTGCCTCTGGTGGGATAAAGCCTTTTTTTCTATTTGTTGGATGTTGGAGTACTTTCAGTGGTCTAAATCCTGGTGAAGCTTGAATAATACAGCAGATTTCTGGTGGACTGTGTAAATGCTGAATGAAATAGAAGAACATTATTCATTCAACATGGGATAGTATTTTGAACATTAAATTTACAGAAAAAGTAAATAAACATATAACCTGATAAATGGTCCTTTGGGGAGAAAGGGGAACAATTGCTTCTGAATTCACATTTGGATTCTTTGTGTCCCTGACAGAGGCTTCATGTGTGGACAATGAGTCTAACTGTACCGAAGCAAAATAAAAATGCAAGAGGTTATTGTTAATCAGAAGGTGTGTTTCTCAAGGACAATTTTTCATGACCTTCAGTCTACAAGTATAGTTTGTCTGGAGTGGACAAGATAAAACAGCTTTCCCTTTGTCAAAATACTGCTGGCTTATAAAAAAACCCTGGCTCTTCATAGACACCATTATGGCTCACGATCAACAAAGTAGTTGTTATTCAAGTAAATAATTACATGATACTTTTTTGAACTGGAAAAAATGTTTAATACAAAAATGTCTGGATATAACTTTCAGTCTGAATGTGCATCTCAGCTACTGATAATTCAAAATGTACAGAAAGTAATCCTTTATTCACTTTTGCTGGAGTTTCTGTTAAAAATCATTTAAATTGGAAACTGTGGTGGATATTCCTTTCACATCAATGTTTATTTTTGAAGCCAAAACTGCCAAACAAGTAAGGATACTTGTTTCCAGAAATAACAATGTTCAAAGGATATTAATGTTTTTGCAGTTGAGCAAATTGGCTCATTAAAAAAAAGACATTTTTTTCTGAAAACATTACTAAGTGGCACACTTCAAACAAATATTTATATTGTTACCTATATGATGAAAATATTAGTTATTTTAGCCAGAATGTCTGGTGCCATTAAGATACTTTAACATAACATTTCCAGGTAGTTTAAGATTTGTAAAATAAGCATACAATAAAAACAAAACCTCATTTAGTAGCAAAGAAATAAATATGTTTATGCATTCAATTAATACCCTGCCTTTAAACTCAAATATTTAAAGTTAGAAACTTATTGTAGGTTAAGTGCCCTATATAGAGTATTAGTTCAATAGAAAATACGTGATTATTCTATAAGCAGGAACCCATTGATCAAACATTTCCAGATTCATCTACTCATATGAAAAAGAGTTAGTTTTTGGTAAGATGAATTTAATATCTACATTTGCGCAAAAGAGGAACCATGGAAAAGTCAAATGAGCAAGCTTGCATTCACAAATGGGTGGAAGGCCCTTGACCTTTGTATCTAGTGTTGAATAAGTAAGCCTTGATTGATTATGAGAGTGCTCTTCCCATTGGTTCTTTTTTCCTGAAATAAGTGGATAAAGTCATTCTCAGTGTCAAGGTGCCAAGTAACTCATAGCTGCCGGTGGTTTTCTGCTATTATGTCAGTATTTCTAAGTGCAAGGTTCAATATGGTTTATATATCTTCTTTTTTCCTTTTACTCATACACTCCACCTATCCCATGGCCTTTAGGCTCAGGCAGTAGTTACATACCATGTCAGCCTCTGATAATTTGGATGGTACGATCCCACACATTTCCTTGGAGCTGTTTTTTCCAGATGAAGGCGATACACGAGGAGAGGATAGAGAACTTACATCTTTGAATGTTATTTTTTTTCTACATTTCCTTTTGACAGGTTGCTGATGCTCAATCTAAAGTTAAGAAAAGGAAAGGTGCATCAGTATAAAATTAAGACTGGCGAAAAACGAACTCACATTTAAAACAACCTAATGAAGCATTTTGCATTTTTGATCTTTTTTTAAAAACATAACAAATTATATGGAGGAGGTTAGATTCATTTCCCCACTATTCTAAAGAATAGATGTTTTTGGATCTAGCAATGAAAACGGAGACTGCATCCTTTTTCCTCCGTTTTCTGAACATGACAGGAATCAAATCCACAGCCTCTCATTGCCTCCTCCTATATCAGATCCAAACTGACCCCCCCTGCCCCTAAACAAAGCCCCCTGCAATCCTGTCTAAACCAAAGAATAAAAGCATAGTCACTGGGTCGCAGTCCTGCTCAAGCCATTCTTGCAAGAAAACTCCACGGCTTCAATCAGCTCGATGACTTCAATATTCCTTCCCCCTTTACCCATGGATTTTTCTCTGTCCCCTGAAAGGCCCGTTTTGCCTAACAATAGAACTAACTCCAGTGACACTGACCTGCCTAGATTTCCCAAACTGGCTGGCAAATAAGATCCCTAGGACAGTGGTGGCGAACCTATGGCACGTGTGCCAGAGGCGGCACTCAGAGCCCTCTCTGTGGGCACTTCTCTGAACTGCTGGCAGTGGGCTGCGGAGCCCCAGAGAGTGCCGGTCGAGGGGCCTGCAGGCTGTGGCTGCTGATGGACAGTCAGCCCCCATGCGCTCACTGGCCTGTGTGTGCGGGGGCCGATGGTTTCAGGCAGCAGCCGCCCTGGCCCCTGCCTTGTCTTGCCCTGCAATAATGGCATCCCCGCCCTGCCTTGCCTCACCCCGCAGGACGAGCCTCCTGCTCACACCACCTGCCAGAGACCCCCTGGATCTCCCCCAACTGGATCTCCCCCTACCCTGCCCGGCCCCCACAGGCGTCCCTTCCCATGAGCAACATCAAAGTGACCATGCCCACTTTGGCCATACCCACCCAGTCTGCCATGACCACCACAGCCACACCCACCCAGTGGGCCACACCCACCTGGCACCCAGCGATAAATAAGTGGGTTTTGGGTTGCAGTTTGGGCACTCGGTCTCTAAAAGGTTTGCCATCACTGGCCTAGGATTTCCCACTTTGCAATCCGCATCTGCTATAGAAATATTTCCGTTTGTTCAGGATCTCTCTATCTGGTAGAGAAAGTTGGGTGCCAACAACTGGTGGAAAAACACGTGGATTTCCCCCCCCTCCTTAGTGTTGTGCTCAATATTTCGGGATTTTTGGTGACTTCAGTTCCTTAAGATCCTATAAGTCCATGAAAGAAGAGAAGGATGTAGACCAGGAACGTCAAACTCACGATGTCACGTGACATTGCGCGACCTATCGGGAGTTTTTCCCCATTGCTGGCATGACGCATCCGGCCCACGGGCCAGCAGTTTGACATGCCTGATGTATAAAGGATTTCCTCCCTCATAAGCCTTGTCCCCATTTAAGGTGTCTGGTGGCATCATAACATCATAATAACTTCAAATGTCTTTTTTGGGGCATCTGCATCTAAGAATAGGAGAGCAGTATCAAAAAGTATTTTCTCATGTTTCTTGTGTTAATTCCAAAACTGAAAATAAGACTGGCTGGACATGTGAGAAACTCGAGGAATATTGTGGGCAAGAATAAGCAAACAATAATAAATAATCCTTCCTTCTATCTATCACATTCTACTGAAAGTATTCTTCTATCATCTACCATTAATGGGAAATATGTTGGTGAGAAACCCCGCCCTGTCATTCTACACCTATCCTTGATTATTATGGCTGTAATCTATTATAGCCATAGAAAGGGAAGCATTTAATTAGGCTTGGCTAATCTTGAAAAAGCTAAGCTGGGTTACATTTGGTTATGACTTCAATGAGGATCTACCAGGAAATCCTAAAATTGTAGACCAGATTGGGAAATCTGAAAAAATTCTCAGGAGATAATAGCAAATCACTTCAGTTTAACTTGCCAAGAAAGCTACATGGACATATGCATGTACCAGTAGTTGCTAGGAGTTGAACTCAGCTCAAGGAAAGTTTATCTTTTTTATCCATTATAGGCATCAATTATAATCCCCTTTCAATCATTCATACCAGCTTGATATTCCAAAAAAGGATGCAGTGCTTTAGCATTAGTTTACAATTGTCAAGTGGGAATCATGTCCAATTCATGTCCAGTTCTACCAATTAATATAGATGTGTTACTACTTTGTCTGGAAGGGATGTTTTGTTATGGTTTTTATAACAGCCTGGCAACGAATAATTTAACACTTCAGTTGAAATTCTCACAATCGTCATTCACTGTTAACGAGTAAAGATATTCTCCTTAGACTATAAAAACAGTGGGTTGTGGCAGAGAGGTTAAATACACAAGAAACTGTGCACAGAAATAAAGGTAATCACACATTGCTCAATTTATACATGATAGCCTAAGAGTATTAAAAACTATTACCTTGTTTTTTTGTTCTGGAAGCAATAATGAAACTCCAGAAGGCTGTGATTTAAGTCTTTTTTCATTTGCAGGCAAAATTTTGTACACCTGTTTCCCTGAAAAATACACTATGTTTCAAATCATCTGAAAGAACTGGCCCTATTTTTGCCAGCCATAGGTTTGTGACTCAGATCAACAGCATCATGTGCTTATTCCCAATTTCAGAACATATAATTATATCTTCATACTATATATATATATATATATATATATATATATATATATATATATATATATATATATATATATATATATATAGCTTGCCCACTTTATTCAAAATCTCTCTTGAGAGAGGGAATGAGCTTTTGCACTTGAATATATATAGCCAAGGGTACCAATTACTTTAGAATGAATCAGGTACTCACAACTGTTACCATAGCAACCAAAAAAATTGGGGTGCAGCCTGCAGCCAGAAATAGCTGTGATTTTGCAGCTTGCCGCCATTTCCCCCCACTAGCAGCCAATCAAAGTGTTGCAGACGCTCTTTAGTCCTTCGGATACTGGCTTGGAAACTGAGGCAGTGTAGCAAGATACGCCTTAAAGGCTGGACTTCATGCATTGAGTTAAAATCAGGACAGGAATCTCTTACAAAGCTGCACTGGCTTCCAACAGAAGTAGGGATGCTCATTTTTATATTTTCTGGGCCCAATGCTCCTCACCACAGCAATCTTCTCTCAGTCACTTTATCTTTCAATCCAGTCTCTGAGAAGAATCAGGCTTCCCTCATTCACTTGATTTCCCTGCCTCCACCTTTTCTTACTTCTCCGAAAATGCTCTCCAGATCACCCCTCTAATAGGGTTCTTTCTTTCCCCTTCACGTACATGATGGGAGAAAAGGAGTAACTCTCCTCCATCTTGAGTTAGTTAAGTTTCCTTAATCTAACTAACATAGCTTTTGTAAGGCTTTTTTTCCCCCTTTCTGCTCATCCGCCTTTGCACAATCCTGGTCTAATTTTTTTTGTGAATGTTTTATAATAGAATGCACACCCTCAGTTCTTAATTCATTTCTTCCCAGATTCCTCTGTGATTGGCTTGGAAACAGATGCTTAATAGTGTGAGAGGAAGTGTTTGGCCCCATGATATTCTGTAGCAGGGGTCTTCAAACTTGGCCCTTTTATGACTTGTGGACTTCAACTCCCAGAATTCCTCAGCCAGGCACGCTGGCTAAGGAATTCTGGGAGATGAAGTCCACAAGTCATAAAAGGGCCAAGTTTGAAGACCCCTGTTCTGTACCATATCATTTCAGCACATTCTCCTCTGGTGTGAGGACATTATTTGGTATGATCTGGAGCTTGTTTATGAATGCACATTTACGTATGCATATTTTTACTGCTTTACTGACATAGGATCAAGGCATTTGATTATGTCTTGTGACAAAGTGAAATACTCGGTTAGATAAAATATTAAGTTAGAAGCTACTACCAAGAGAGAAGGAAAAATGCATGGTTTTGAAATGGTCCAAATCAAACCGGAATGTACAACTTCTGTTTTTTATTCATTTCTACACTAGGGGAAAGAAGATAGATAGATAGATAGATAGATAGATAGATAGATAGATAGATAGATAGATAGATAGATAGATGGATGGATGGATGGATGGATGGATGGATGGATGGATGGATGGATGGATGGATGGATGGATGGATGGATGGACGGACAGACCACTTTCTATTTATTTGGAGCATGACCCTTCAAAGAGAATGGAAAGCATTCTCAACAAATTAGTTGAGAATCAGTTCACTTTATTATGATCAAAGATCAGCCAAGCCTGAATACATATAGAAGGTTGCTTTAAATAGTTCTCCTTAGTAAGATCTCCCTGAAAATCTGGGATGAACATTCGCTAAATTGACTGCAACTAATTTTTATAGCTTCAGAGTCAAATGTTCTTCAGAAAACAGCCTTGCAATTCCACAAAAAGGTACAACTTCCATAACAAATTGTAACAGCTGCTAGAAGACCAGTTTGCTATAGCAAACTAAAAGCCAGGAGACGAGAGTTCTAGGCATCCCTTAGGCAGGAAAGCCAGCTGGATGATTTTAGACCAGTCACTCTTTTTCTGTTAGGTGTATTCACTGCCTTAAATTCACACACACGCACGCACACACACACACAGGATTATAACCTCAAATATATTTTACAACAATTTTAAAATGTTCACATCTTTAGATAGGGTAGTATCTCTAGGCTCCCAAACAAGCCAAAATTATAGTTAAGCTGAGACATACATTTCTAAATCCCTGATCAGTCTTGTGAGAAAATATGATACCAAATTATTATAGGGCATGTAAACAAATTCCATGAATGACAGCAAAGCAATGCAAAGGATGAGAAGGGAACTATTTTAGTTATGATATTTTCAGTGCCAAGACTGCAATCCAGCTGTAGTAAGGGTTTTTATAACATATGATTAGAGAGTATTTAAAGGAACCACTATAAATAGGATGTTGACATAATCCTATCTCAGTAAGAGACAAAAAAAATCTACTGGGTATCTTACATATAGTAAAAAAAAACTTTTTTTTTTACCTGCTACCATGGCTGAAGTATTTGTGGGTTCAGAAGTCAGTTTCTGCCTGGATTGTTTTCTGCAGGCAAAAGACTGTGATATTAATAAATATTCAAACATTTTGAAAAAACTATAACTAGCATTGCACATAAAAATCTCCATGTATTAAGTTGAAACATTTTTGTTTCCCTAATTAACCAAGTTGGCAGTGTTCAAGACAACATGTCAATAACGTTAGAAGGACAGGCCTTAAAATTTGTGGAACAATTCAACTATCTTGGTAGCATCATGGAAACAGATGGGGGAACAGGCAAATCAGCTGCTATCTTCCAACAAATGCCCTCAGTATGGACCATGTCCACCATAAACACAGCAACCACGATCAGCTTATTTAATGCCATTGTCATACCAAACGCCATCTATGCCAGTGAGATCTGAAAAGCCACAACAAAAATTGTTCATAAGATTAATATCTTCCAACAACATTGCATCAGAAAGATTCTTCGTTATCTTGTATAAAGGACCATGTCACAAACAAGGAAATTCTACAAAGAAGTAATTCCCGAAGACTTTCTGAGATAGTGACAGAACAAAGAAATTGCTTTGCTGGACACATGCTCCCCAAGTGAGCAAAGTCCAGCAAAGATGGCAATCAATTGGATACCGAAGGACGGCTGCAGATCAAGACCTGTGGTGTACGCTTGTAGTCCAATGTTCTTAGACGTGGGGAAAAAAATAATCAGAAAGCACTGAACAAGTAGTCCTCAGCTTACAACAATTCGAAGTTACAACGGCACTGATGAAACTAACTTACGACTGCTTTTCACACTTACGATTGTTGTGGCATTCCCATGGTCACATGATCAAAATTCAGGCACTTGGGAATTGGCATATATTTATGACAGTTGCACTGTCCTGGGTCATGTGATCACCACCTGTAACCTTCCCAGCTAGCTTCAGACAAGGAAAGTCAATGGGGAAGCTAGAGTTGCTTAATGATTCACTTAAGAACTACAGTGATTCACTTACTTACAATGGCAAAAAAGGTCAGAAAATGGGCCAAAACTTTCTTAACAACTGCCTTGCTTAACAATAGAAATTTTGGGCTCATTTATGGTCATAAATTAAGGACTATACTGCAATAATATACATAATAAACCTTTTTTTTTAAAAAAAAACAACATTAAAACCATCAAATATAAAATGACAAAATAAAATCATTAACACAAGATGGAAAAGGAAAGAGCCGAATACACTTGGGGGGGGGCAGGTGGAGTTAGCTTTTAATTAGTCAAACACCTCCCGTGTGGAACCCCCCCCCACAGGGACCCCAAGCCATCTGGCAGAACCAGACATTAAGGCTCTTACACAAAGTCAGGGAGGGTGGGGAGCCAATCTGACCTCTGGGGAGGGGGGAATAGTACATATTATGTATCAGCTAATCAGCCAAAACAATTCATACAGTTAATTTTGCTTTAATATGAACTTCTCACTATAGATGTGTGATGGCTCAGGAGTTAAAGACCCTGAGTTTGTCAGATGGAAAGGTGACAGCCCAGCTTCGAGACCCAGCGCTATGCAACAGGATAAGCTCCCGTTATTGCCCCTTAGAGTCAGAAGCAACTGGACAAGGGAAACATTTACTTTTACAGATATGCTGTGGAAAATGTAATTTCTAAAAGGGGATTTTCAGAACTACAGTTCTCAGCAAGATTTCCACAATTCTTGGAGATTTCTCCCAAGCGCAAATGCCAGTAATTCTAAAACTTCTATGAAGCATTCTCTGAATAAAATGGTCCTTGGAGACTGAACGTGGGGGGACATTGTCTAAGTAAAATAGCCACTTCCAAGGCTTTTGTTGATTTCCTAACTGTAGAGTGAAATATAAATGGAAACTGGCATCCGGCACTCAAGTGTAGGGAGACTTAAACCTTAATCATATAAAAAATAATAATAACACGTGCTACAGAAGTTTGTATCTTTTAAGATTTCTGATTATGATCATTCTCAACTGCCTGATATATTTAATTTTGTACTATATTGTAAAATGGATGATTCCCACAATAATGACAGCACTAGTCATCTGTTTATAGTGGCAGTTTAAATTACTCTTCTGTTGTGGTTTTGGTTTATAAGAGAATACATTTGGAGTCCAATAAGATTGTTGGCATCTTTACTCTTACAAACTGTTTTGCACCAGCAGCTTTGTAAACACTACTAATATAAGGAAAACAAATTATCAAATTTAAAGAGAATTTTCTTTTACCTGGCAATGTTCTGGCCTTGGATTCCTAAAGGGGTACCTGGAAGAGATTTAACTTAGCTGAATATAAGAAGCAGAAGATAGTACAGTATTTCTAATTGCCTATGTCATAGGGCTCATCTATATTTTGCTCGCCCCCATATAAAGGTACCCCATTAACTACTTGTTGCTTGACTTTGTCTGCCTTGATGAGGGCCTTGAAGACTTGGCTGTTGTCCCAAGCAGTGGGGCAGGATGGTACGTGAACCCATGAACATGATATATAATATATGTTTGTGTCCAGCATGTTTTTAAGGGCTCTAATTTAAATTTTGATGTTTTTAATTTTCAGTTTGCTACATAAAATTGCTTGGCAAGGGGGCACCCATAAAAATTGAAGAAATAAACATGTAAGAAAGGAATACAAGTCTTTGACGTATCCTGAAGTGATCTCTGCCTGTCTTTTTTTGCTCTATGTCAAAAGTGGGAGTGGTGCTTTGTAGTCTGTCTGTGACATTTCATTTCCTTGAAGGCAATGTTTAATTTGCTAACACGCTGGGCACTGGCCCTGCCCTCCGCTACTCTTGGTCTGCTGGGCTGTCTTCTCTTACAGAAAACCTAACCACAATCTGTTTTGCAAGATATGTCTTAGGGCTTTTGGGAGACCATTTATGTGCTTTAAAACACTTAATATATACACGTTCCTCTTTTTATGGATCAGGCACCAATGTACTGTTGAACATTTCAAGAACTTCAGCTGATTTGAATGGGTATCGTGATTGATGCTTATACCTGCTGGCCCTACCTATCCTAAAGAAGATCTCACACAAACATCAGAGGTGGTGCCATTTTTGCCCAGTCTAATGCCACTTCCCTTTTCCATGGAGTACCTCTGGATACCATAGCCACTTGCTGCCAGCATTCCCTTGTAGCATTCCACAGTTTAAGGTGAAATTGACAAAATGTCTCCCAGATGCCTCTTCTAGCTCAGGTAACTGAGGGCGGAATTATAAAACTGGAGCCAGCCTCTTATCTCCCCATCTCTCTTGCAATGCATGACAAAAAGTAAAAGAGGAAGAAGATAATGGGTCCCTTTGTGTCAGTTCTCCAGCCCATCGAATTACTCCACAAAATGGGGAACTGACAACAAAAGGCCCTCAGATCTTCTAATTGCAACAAAGGAACATCCCCTTTTCATATTCAGATATAATTCTTATTTCGCTGAGGCAAAATATGAAATACAACCAGCATTTTATTAAGGCAATATACTTTAAGCTGGTTCCTGCAACGAAGAGCAGGAAATGATGCTTTGAGGATGAGACCAGAGGACATGCAGAACTATCCCCAATGAGATTCCTAAGCCAAATTAAGTTTTGAGAAGTGTTTGGCCTTCAGTGTTGAGGTAATTTCCACTGGAAACTGGCACACGTTGTTTGCTCTGTCCATTCCTTTTCTCCCCCAGCTTCCATTTTTCTTGACACAAGTTCATCCATATCATATTCCTACCCATATTCCTAAGTCAGCTGCTGAAGATATTGTTCTTTTTTGCTTTAGAACTTCAATGGCAAAGTTAAATTAAATATTCTGAAAGTTACCGAGTATTTTAGAAAGGTTTGGCAGTTGTGACATCTTGTCTATGTTGATGGCTTTGCTGGTATCCAAGAGAGTTGAATTTTTGCACGCAAGATGTGTTTCAGGACTAGCAGTGTCTTCTGAAGACAGAAGACAATACAGTTAATGATACTATTATTAAAATCCAGAAAGTTCTATAATGTTAATAATGCCTTTTTATAATTTCTTCAGAACATTTTCCATACATTTCAGGGGAGCGAACAAATAGGTTGATAATGAGAATATAATCAGAAGCAAATGTTTTGCTTAATGCATAATGGAACTGATTTATCTCTGGGTTTAGGAAACTTGGATCACAAATTGTCAAATCAAAAGTTAAAAAAATAAGGGTGATTTTGAATTCATGAGTTGATTGAAGGAATATGCATACATTAGCAAATTAAAAAGGATTGGGCAGAAGACTATTTAATCTGCTTTCCTCCCTAATATATTGAAATACAATGTACTAATGGTCTGCCTTCTCATTCAAAGAAAAAAACATAAATACATGTACATATATAAAACATAAAAGGTATGTGCATCTCTTTTAATTTATTCTCACAAATAATTTTAAAAATGTGTACCTAAGCCAGTTTCATCCCTGAATATTTCAGGTGATGAATAACTACTGGTAGAATCAATACTCTTGGTATAACTACAGTCCGGAGTAGTCTCCATATCCAAACAATCAAGCAAAAAGTCTGAAACTCCTGTTGGTAATGTCATTTCTGGAATTACAGCAAAACGTAATGTTATCAAAAGAATAAAAAGCTTCTGCAGGAAGCAACAGGAAAATAATACAGAAAGATTTAAGTTTTATCAAATTGCTTACCTCTCCATTGTGGAGCACACTGTTATGAAACAGAAAGGAAACATACAAACTGATCAAGGTAAACTAATAATCCTTTTCCATAACAAAATGGTCTTTCTCAAATATGTGTATTTAGCAACAAAGGAAAAAAAGCAAACTTAATTATATTCCTATCACCAAGAAAATACTTAATATACTTAAAAAATTTGTACATACAGCTATTTTTAATTACATTTTACATTCCTTTTATTGCATTTTTATAAGTAACTCAAGGTGGCAAACATATTTAATACTCCTTCCTCCTTCTCATCTTCCCCACAACATCCCTGTGAGGTGGGTTGGGCTAAGAGAGTGTGACTGGCTCAAATTCACCCAGCTGGCTTTCATGCTTAAGGCAAGACTAAAACTCATAGTCTCCTGGTTTTTAGGCCATCATCTTAACCATTACACCAAATTATGTATACACAAACATATACAAATTTAGGTGCCATGAATCTGTTCTTAAATAAATACATATGCAACATAACACATCTATCAGGTTAGAACCAGGTTTGTTTTTAATAAGCAATAAGAAAACATGGGCTGGTGGGATAAACATAAAACCCCAACTACTCAAAGGTCTGCTAAGTTGATGTTATGACAAACATGTGAACATAGTACTGATTGACACTGATTAGCTGTGGAAGATTGTAATGAAATATCAATACCATTTGCTGAAATGCTTAGGTGGAATTGTCATATATGTATACACCAGCGGTTCTCAACCTGTGGGTCAGGACCCCATTTGGGGTCGAACGACCATTTCACAGGGGTCGCCAAACAACGCAGTCCGCCATTTTTCCCCCTTTTCCTTAGCTGTGCTACTCCCTTTTATTCTATTGGCTTTTGAAAGCCAATAGAATAGACTCTCTTGAATAGAGTCTAATTCTATTGGCTTTCAAAAGCCAATAGGAATTGTCCAGGCTGTCTCTGTGCTGCTGAGCCCGCCCAAAATCCCATTCTACAAATGGTGCTGCAAGTTGTCTGCAGCGAAGGCAAGCTGTCTGGAAGTTTCCCCCCCTCCCTGCTGAGCAACTACTAAAAATGTAAGTAAAAGAGGGCCAGGGGTGGGAGGTGGCAGGCCAGCGGGCGCAGAGAGGGTTGCTGGTGCGCATGGGGCCTGGCGTGTGCCTTACCTGGTGGCCCAGCCGGTGGTCGGCCTGCGCCGTCTCTGCCGCTTGCCAGCTACGCCTCAGCCGGCGCAGGGGGCAGCACCACGCATGCGTGGCACTCCCGGGCAGGGAAAGTCCCCGACTTACGACCGGTTGGGTAGTCCTCAACTTATGACTGGTTGGGTAGTCCTCGACTTACGACCGGTTGGGGGTCGCGGCATTAAAAAGGTTGAGAACCACTGGTATACACTGTTTGTTTTTGTTTTTTTTTTCACTATGTATTGTTTGCTTTCAATTAAAAGCAAAAATAAACAAACATAAGATGTTAATCAGGAAGAATATCAAGGTGACTTATGTGCTGAAGTACATTTTAATTGGTTGACAAATTGTTATTTATAGTACAGATATTAAACTTATACATTATTTTTATTTTAATATTTTGAAATAATGACCAAAAAAAGGGAAAACACCTCAGTGATAATTATGGTAAAAATACACCCACTGTCAAAGGAAAAAAATAGAAAAAAAAATACAACAAAGCAAGGTAGATAGATACATATAGATAGATCAATTTAACAGTAAATAATTATACACACACACACATATATCTATTTAATGCAATTAATCATATATATATATATATATATATATATATATATATATATATATATATATATATATATATATATATTATAGTTATATTTATTCTTATTTATATTATGTTTTCTAACAAATCTTTAGTAAAGTTGAAGTTCTCAAAATTGCATTTCCCCCAAATAGTGTAACTTTAAATGACAGAGTTCTTTTAGATTCACTGAGGAAATGAATCCTTTTTTTTCGGGTTAATCATATTTGGGGAACATGGAAACTTCTAAGCGATGGTATTTCCAGGCAAACATCTGTTTTGAATAATATTCCAAACCAGCAAACTTTTAAATAAGCCTGCTCTAGCAGACTTAGGATTCAACAGATAAAAATTTCCTCCAAACATTACCTCAAACTAATCAGTTGTATGTGAGGATTATTCATATAAATTGCATTGTTAGTATAGACTTGGTTCATTTATGGATTTAATGGACATCTAGGTTTCACATACATACTCATCTCCTCCAATGCTCTGCTAAATTAAGTGTTTAATTATTCAATTGCTGTAGAAAAGTAGTGCATGAATTTAACAAAAGAAATAAGTAAGCAAAACCAATGCTTACTACAAAGAGCCACTATAAGCTGCCATTTCCCATGGTGACAGGATTGAAAATTCATTTATAGTGCTGGCCTCTACAAGTCTTTGAGATACAAAAGAGATATATCACAGTCTGAAAAACCACATGTCAAAAATCTTCTAAAATTTTCAAATTAATAATCATTTTGCCTGAAATGACATCACTAACATAAACTCAAAATCCAATTATTTAGTAGTAACTAGCTAAGAAAATCTAACACAATTCTAGATTCCTCCATTAATTCCACTTCTTCACCTCATATACAATATACAATAATATGCGTGTTGCATAGGGTCTGGAGAGCTGAGGGACATTTTTTCTCCAATAGTTTTCACTTATTCTGTATGTACCCACACAGCAGGTCCTCTTTATTAAACACTGAGAAAGCATGTCCTTTTTTTGTGCCCCCCCCCCGCCCCCGAACAGTGTTCTCCCAGAGATACGGACTGTGTCCTCTCTCCTAGGGTTCCCAAAAGCTTTTAAAATCTGGCTTTGGTCCCAGGCCTGGAGTTAATGTACGTATCATTGTATTTTAAGATGTCTGATTTATATTGCCTTTGAGGTTGTTTTAGTCCAGGCTATATGTGTTTTATGTTTTATAAGTTTGTATGGATTTTTTCATTTTGGAGTTGGAGGCTATAAAAAAATTGAACAAACGAACAAATAATAAACGGTGTCAATCCTCACAAGAAAAACTGACAAGGAGAGGGATATTATATATCAATGTTACTTTATGAGACCCATGTGCAAAACTAAAGCTTCACGTTACAGTGAAAAGAATAGCACAGCATACATGGAAATACTTACCTGAAGTAGCTTCACCGTATCTCAGGCTTTGTGTACCTGCAGAGGCTAAATGCAAGGAATCCTATGGGCAACAATGAAAGACCAGATGTCATAGCAAATATCATCATACAATTTCTCACAAATTGTTTCCTGGGAGTGATCCTTTACATGTTTTCTTCAGTTAACCTACCCAAGCTATGCTGTAATTGTGGGATAGCAAAAATTTTCCTCAAGCAGGGCCTAATATTCTTATGATCAAACTATTACACCAGTGAACACAAAGAAACCATATTAGCAAGCAAATAAATAACTAATACATCATACATAGGTCTACTGTTCATCATCCCATCTGGGCTTGTTTTATTTGACATCTTATTACTTTCTTCTATATTTTTGAAAAGCTGTTTTAAATGTTTTAACCATCTGTAAACTGCCAACATTTTTTGGGAATCAGATAGCACGTAAGTTTAATAAATGATTATGATTATCATCCTTCTCATCAAGAAGACTGGAAAGGGCATCACAATGTCCCAGGACAATGTCTTGCTGTGTAAAATACTCTTGACTTCCCCTTGCATGCTTCTCCATGTCCTAATAAACTTATAAAACAGCGCTGCCCCCAACCTTTTGGACACCAGGGACCAGTTCTGTGGAGAGAGGTTTTTCTATGGACTGGAGGGGCGTGGGTTCGTGTGCTACCTGCTTGTTTGTGTAGCCTGGTTTCTGGCATGCAGTGGACCGGTGCCAGTCCACGGACCAGGTGTTGGGGACCGCTATTATAAAACATACTAAACTTAGTTTTAACCCTGGTTGATGTTTTATGACTTAAGTGAATAGTTCAGTTAATTTATGATTCAGTGTATTGTGTAAACCCAATATAAGTCAATGGGAGCCAGATATGATTAACTTTCTCCAATTACAATCATAGCTGAAAGTGGTTTAATGGAACCCTGGATACTATCCTCATCTATTCCTCCACATCAGTGAAATATATTCAATGTAAGTGATCTCACAGTATTATGTCTACCTTTAAAGGAGTTGTTTTCATGTCACTGATATCGTTGGTCACCTCTGTACTGCTATATTCATTGCAATTTAATTCAATGCTATTTAGGAAAAAAAATGAGGGCAATTATATTTTCAGAGGCAATTTCAGTTCTTTTCAGATATCTACAACCTCTTTCAGTAAAACAGTAAGTGTATTATTCTTGCTCCTGAGCATTCATTTAATGAGAATACTGTTGATAAGAAAACTGGCCTGAGAACACCATTCCCTTATTGCAGTGGTGGCGAACGCGTGCCAGAGGTGGCACTCAGAGCCCTCTCTGTGGGCATGCGTGCCGTGCTCCGGAGATGGCGAGGTACTGGCCCCCGCCACCCTGGCCCCGCCCACCGTCTGCCATGACCACCGTGGCCACGCCCACCTGGCACCCAGTGATAAATAAGTGGGGTTTGGGTTGCAATTTGGGCACTGGGTCTCTAAAAGGTTCGCCATCACTGCCTTATTGTAATGGATTACAGTCCCATCATCCCCAGTCCCCATGGAGTTTTACTGTTAAAACAAAGTGATCTAAAACCTTTCATAAGATTAAAAGAGAAAAAAAATTAAAAAGTCCTGAATGCCTATTATTCCTTACTTTTCTTCAGATGAAGGACAAACCATCTGAGTCACTTGAGAGTGTTCTTGAATTTTTGGTAATGCTTTTGTAACAGTGCTTTTCATTTGCCCTAACAAGACAGAAAGTAGTGTAGAAGTTACTAGAAGAGCAGGAGGAAGGAGGAAAATAGAGTTTTAAGATTTTCAATATTAAGCTTATCTAAAAGTCTTGCATTCACCTAATGATTTGTTTTATGTAAACGGGGCATAGAGAACCAGTTTGCTATAGTGCCTAAGGCATCAGACTACAAACCCATGAGATTGTGAGTTCTAGTTCTGACTTATGCACAAAATTAGCTGGGTGATCACTCTCTCCCAGCCTAAGAAAGCCTAAATCATTTCTGAAAAAACTTCCTTACTCTCTAAACTTACTTTCTCTTCAAAAGGATAAATGCTCCCCCTTCTGGTTACTCAGTTTAATAACTTGGTAAACAATCCACCTACAGCACACAGAAAGCTTTCATTTTTCCAAGTTTAGGCAGTTTTAAGGTGGCAGACTAATCAAGAGGTGAGTTACTATTCACAAATTGGGAAGAATTTCTTACATATATGGTACACTTGGATAAGCCTATTGATAATCACACTTCTGGGTTAAACATTGTCAAAGATTATTGGAAAAGGAGGCCTGGATCACCAGCTTAAAATGAGGAACAGTGTCTCTCTTCCATAAATTATCATATTTTTATAGTTTGGATAAAAGATATTGCACCTTCTGGATATGATCATGCTTCCCCAAGCCGAACTGTTATCTGGACGTGTGTGTGTGTGTGTGTGTGTGTGTGTGTGTGTGTGTGTGTGTGTTTCTCCTGTACAACCTTTCCTGAACTGGAAGGCCTTCCTCAGTCACTGAATCATATTTAATTTGGACTATTGCAATATGTTGTTCATGGGGATGCCACTGAAAACCACTTGAAAACTTTGTCTAGTCCAGAATGGAGTGGTTTTGGCAATTAGGAGACCCACACAATTTAGTCACATAACATCACTACTTTGAGAGCTGCAGTGGTTACTAGTTTGCTTTGGGAAGCATTTCAAGGCATGTGTTGTTACCTTTATAAGCTCATAAGCCCATCCCCTGGTTGTTTCTATTTGTCTATTAGACTTTCAAAAAGACAGATCACATTAGACCCGTACCATTACTGTACAAGCACATGTGTCCAACCCACGTCCCATGGGCCACCTGCCACCCTGGACTGCTAGTAATGTGCCCTGTTAAGAGATAATATTAAGGTACAGTTTGTTTATATACATTAACTATATTCTATATTTTATATGTGTCCCAAGATCATTCCTCTTGATTTAGTGAAGTCCAGGCAAGCCAAAAGTATAAAGATGCCCATGGTATAAAGTGTCATCTGAAGGCCTTTTCAGACACGGTTCCTTTTTTTCTGGTACATATACCTAGACATCAAAACAGCTTCAGCTTTAAGTTTCAAAAAGCAATTAAGAACTGTTTTTTTTTTTTTTTTTCAGCTAGCTTTGAGCCCCTTAGCAGTGGAAATGTTTGCATTGGCTGTTCAGTGGAGCATTTCACAGGTAGTCTCGACTTAAAGTTACAATTGAGCCCAAACTTTCTGTTCCTAAGTGAGAGAGTTAAGTGAGTTTTGTCCCATTTTACGATCTTTCTTGCCACAGTTGTTAAGTGAATTGCTGCAATTCCTAAGTTAGTAACATGGTAGTTAAGTGAATCTGGCTTCCCCATTGACTTTGCTTGTCAGAAAGTTGTAAAAGGGGATCGCATGACTCCAGGACACTGCAACCGTCATAAATATGAGCCAGTTGCCAAGCTTCTGAATTCTGACCACCTGACCGTGGAGGCCCTGCAACAGCTGTAAATGTGAAGAAGTCATAAATCATTTTTTTCAGCACTGTTGTAACTTTGAACGGTCACTAACCAAAATAGTTATAAGTTGAGGACCCTCTGTATTACATTAGTTTTTTATAGTTTATTGCTATAAAGCAGGAGTCTTCAAACTTGGCCCTTTTATGACTTGTGGACTTCAACTCCCAAAATTCCTCAGCCAGCGTGTCTGGCTGAGGAATTCTGGGAGTTGAAATCCACATCATAAAAGGGCCAAGTTTGAAGACTCCTGCTATAAAATATCAGTATGTACACTGCTCAGAAGTAGTTATGACTGGAGCAGCATATAAGTCTAATACAGCGGTTCTCAACCTTTGTGTGACGGCGGCGCCCCCATGCGCAGCGGCGCCCCATGCACGGTGCGCATGCGTGGCGGCGGCCCCATGCACAGCGCGCATGCGTGGCGGCGGCCCCATGCGCGGCGCCCCGAGGGGGGGAAATGGCAGATCGCATTGTTTGGCGACCCCCATAAAATGGTCGTTCGACCCCAAATGGGGTCGCGACCCATAGGTTGAGAACCGCTGGTCTAAAGAATAAACAACTTACCCATGTAACTAAAAATGAGCCAGAAGGCATTGTTTCTTGTTTCTGAAATGCTTCTGGATTTCAGAATCAGAATATTTTCCATAAAGCTTCTTAAAAATGCACACAGGTAATCCTCGACTTACAACATTTCCTTTAGTGACTGTTCAAAGTTACAACAGTGTTGAAAAAAAAGTGACTTAGGATAGTTTTCACTTACGACCGTTGCAGCATCCCCATGGTCATATGATCTAAATTCACATGCTCGGCAACTGACTCATATTTATGACATTTGCAGGGTCCTGGGCTCATGGGATCCTCTTTTGCAACCTTCCAGCAAGTGAAGTCAATGGGGAAGTCCAACTCACTTAACAACCTTGTTACTAAATTAACAACTGCAATAATTCACTTAACAACCATGGCAAGAAAGGTCATAAAATGGGACAAAACTCACTTAACTGTCTCAGTAACAGAAATTTTGGCTTCAAACGTGATAGTAAGTCAAGGACTACCTGTGTTCAAGAAAAAATAAGTACAGGCTATAAACCAGATGCAGTATATATGCCATCCATTTCAAGCCTAAGAAAATGCAAGTAGCCCTCCCTATCCCTGAAACTATCTTCCCTCGAACTGTCCAGCAAAAAGTGCTTTTCCTTCATCCAAAATGAACATTTTAATCTCAGCTTTACCAATAGTAACCCATTTTTTTAAAAAAAGTAAGGTTCTTATAAACACTTGAATCCTAGATAAATGCACTCTTGTCACATTCCATCCTATTGTGCTGTTATTCCAAAAGTTGTCTAGGATTAGTTTTTTTGGGGGGGTGGGGGGGAGTTGTTTCTTTTCCAGCTCAAACCTAGTTTGCAATTCAGAGAATAATCCACTTGCAGTTATAAGCACACACGGCAATAAACCAACCACAAAATATATTGTGGAATAAATTTCCTAATAAAACACATAAGGCTGTGATGTAACTAGAACTTACAGCATTTCTCCTAAAGCTACACAATGAACAACTCCTGACACCTTCCTGACTCTTGAAATCAGCTTGTTGGATTGCAGAAGGAAACTATTTGGAAAGCACAAACTGTTCAGGAAATAGAAGCATAGAGATGAAATGGGCCCTCTCCAAACCACCTGGTTCTTCCATATGAACCTTCAGGCTTTAAAAGGAACTAACCATGATTGCCCTGTATATTTTTGTGAGATCCAGGGCCCTATAAAATCAGGAGTACACAGTTACATTTCAACTTCAGATCTTCACCATTAACTCAGGGAAGGCAAGAGGATGGAGTGCAGTATTTAAAAGATGTCTTGCCTCAAAACTTGAAGTTACCTCTTCAGAGCTTTGAGAGGATTTCAAATAATTCTAATAACTCTAACAATCACTTTAGATATCTACATTAGGCAGGATTCAGTTCACCACAATTCAGGAACTATAAGCAATCAAATTCATTTATTTCATACAGGAAAAACATCTGTTGTGAAAAATCTTGAGCCTTAGAGCTGTATTGTTCTCCTATACATGTCAAACTCGCGACGTCATGTGACATCGCACAACGTATCAGAGGTTTTTTCCCATTGCCGGCAATGGGGTGGGCGCGGTTTCCTGGTGATGCATCCGGCCTATGGGCCGGCAGTTTGACACCCCTGTCCTATACCTTAACTGAAAATCAAATACACAGAAAGCATAAGTAATTTAAAAGCAATGTAGAGAAATGTTCAAACTAGATCAGATCTTCTTCAGCCTTCAGGTCATCTAAAAGCTCTCGAGGATGATCAAAAAAGTACAGAGATTATATAGTCTGAAACATAAAGAATACTTTAATTATTCATGAAGATCTCACCTTTTTTTTTACCAACAGTACTTTTCACCTGAGGATCACAATTAAACTTAGAAAGCTGATCTGGATGCTCCCGAGAAGCTTTGGCTTTACTCTTCATTCCGACCATTGCAACAGATGCTGTTTTAGCTGGCAATGGAGAAGCACAATGTGTTCTCTTTTGGGTTTGCCTCTTCTGGGAATATGAACGTAATTTCATCCAATCCATCCTCTTTTCCTCTGCTTTTCCTCCTTCAAAACTGCTGTCCAAATGGAAAAAAAGTAAGACAAGCTCTAAGTCAAATATAAGCCAAGGCGTCTTTTTGAAGTCTAATGATCTTCAGATATACTATTGGTTGTCAGTACTTGCTCTACTCAAGCGGCTCAGGAAAACAAGAACCAAGATACAACAAACCTTGACACAAAAAGAACATATCATTTCAGTGAATAAAGCAGTCATCCAATTTAATGTGCCCTAAAAAAGAGAAAACAGGGTTTGACTACTAGGACTTTCTTGAACAGGGACCTGGTCTGGAAGACTTCCAAGATTCTTTCCAACTCTGTTATGCTGCCCAGGAGCTGCAGCAACTAACTCCAAATCTGCTATTATTTCTACAATGAAGTCAAATACTATTTCCCTCCAAGATAAATACCAAAAGGTATTTTCTAGAGGAATATTGTTTGCTACAGACAGACAGCTACTCAAAAAGTATAATTAGGTTTGCATTAATATATGCTACACCCAGGACACACTCTCAGGAAAACGATTCAAGAGCTGAAGTCAAAATTTAGCCAATATAGGGAGAAATGCAGAACAGCCAAGAATCAGCAGATGAAGAGATGTAGGTGTGGGAGAAGTAAGGATGCTTGGATGCAATTATAAATCCAGACCTAACTATAAATTATAAACCTAGATCTAATGATAAAGATTGGGCCCAAAGTGAGAGGATCAGGTGAACAAATTGCCCTATCGTTAACGTGGCCGCCTGATTTTAAGGGTAGCAAAAGTTGTCTCAAAATATAACTCTGAAAAATACCAGCGAAAGGACGAGAACCTCCTGTTCGAGAGGTCCTATGGCCTATGGCCCACAACCCACAACCACAACCCACCGTCAGCCTCTCCGTCCTCTGCACAAGCTTCCTTAATAACAGAAGAGTCGCCTCCCGCGGGGGGGGGGAAGACATCTCGGCATTCTGATAGACAGCTACTTTCACCCAATTACCGCTCAGGAATGGGTCCAATGATCCTATCGGAGTCCTCAGCCCTCTCCTTCCTTCGCCTCATTTGTTCAGCTCATGAACGGCAGCGGCTGGACGTCTATAATGAGAACAATCTGCAGAAAGGCTTCGATCGAATCAAAAGCCCGGCTGCCGATACTCGTATCTGATTTACTTGACGCGCGCGCGCTTCGTCATGTATTTCGCTTCTTAATTTGATTCTTTTCGGATGCGTTGGGTGGCAGATCCCATTATCCTTCCAAAAGGGGATTGATTTCTGCGAACTAAGAGGAGTGTTAAGACTTTGAAGAGTTTATTCCCGCCACCTCCTACTGTACAATTTGACTTGTTGCATAATCTCTTTACTTGTGTACAACCTGACGTAGAATCCTGGCTTTTTAAATACGGAAGACTCTGTAATTTCTTTATACTCCTACCTTCTGTCACTCAAGGAGACGTCTTTGTCAAATTGACAAGACCCGTTGTGTTTGCCGAACGTTTTATTTGTTCAGCACTGTTTAGGTGTGATTGATCTCTGTGACTATTAAATAGTGATTAATGTGTTCACTTCTCCAGTTGCCTTTGAGATGGATTTGAAGTTGAAGGTTTCATGATTAAGAATTGGCCTTTTAAAAACAAAACTTTTCCACTTCTTTTCCCCATTTTTTGTATTTAGTACTCTCAGTTTGATGAAAGATCTCAAAAGTTTGAGGGAACTTTTGCATCATTTTGCTAAATCTTAACATAGCTACTATTCAGCTAGAGATTGGAGCTTTTTTTCTCAGGAGTACACATGGCTGTGTACATCTGAGAAAGAATACACCCTTGTAGGGTCCAAATACTGAACACTGGGCAATGCATATTTATTTACTTTTAAATATTTTTAAGTATTTTTAAAAATTATTTACGTGAATTTAAATATTTTACAGTCTTTCAGAAATAAATATTTTTACTTATTTTTCAACATTACTAGTTTTATTATTACTCAGCAATAAGAAGATACTAAAGAACACTAAGATCACTATCTCAGGAAATATACCAAAAGATTCCCCAGGACAGGAAGTAAGGTTTTTTTTTCCCTTCCTGATTTGTGGCATGCCAGCATGTTTTATATGTTAGAAAGATGCATTTAGCAAAATATTGTCAAGACAGCTTGGCAGGATTTCAGGAAAGAATATGTGCTAGCCTACTTGAATTGGTCCTGGGACTGCAAGCAAAATATATATGCTTCCCTTTAGCTACAACATGTTAAAACTACTTGGAATTTAGTTTTGCTTCTCTTGTAACCTCTTCTGAAATTTGAGCCTTGATAACATTGCTGAAGACATGGATGTCAAACTTGATTGTGTCACATGACATATTGTGACATATCGTGATGTTTTTTGCCTTTGCAGCGCCAGGGTGGGTGTGGCCTGGGCGTGGCGCACGCGTCCTGAGGGCCGACAGTTTGATACCCCTGGCCTAAAGTTCCATTCGGAAATCTTACCTTTTTGCTTACAAGCTCATGGAATCCATTCCTAATGAAACATACGTAGAGTTGAAGGTATGTATGCAGAACAGACAAAAGCCAGACTCGTTAAAGGATTTGGTTTTTATATATTATATATGATTGATATATGATATGTGATATATATGATAGTATGATATGACATTATTATAGGTTTCTCCTGCCCTGTACCTCACTCTAGGGAGCAGTGCTTATCTCCATTTCCTAGCCAAGTGAGCCAGCATTGTCCAAAGACATTTCCATGATCATGTGGCCAGCATGACTATATGCCAAGGCACACAGAATACTGTTACCTTCCCATCTCAGTGGTACCTATTTATCTACTTGCATTTTGTTTCAAACTACTATGTTGGCAGAAGCTGGGGCAGGACCAGCTCACCTCATCATGCAGTACCCTAGGTCTCAAACTGCAACCTTCTAGTTGACAAGCCCAGTGTCTTAAACACTAGGCCACTGCACCTTATATATTATACTATACATTTTATTCTAGATTATATCATATCTATCATGTCATGTCCTATCACATCATATGTTGTAATGATTCTTAGGACTAAAAAGGGGATCCTGGGCTACTCCAGTTCTTGAGTCATTCTGTGTCAGGCCTGACAATTCCTGGCCAGCTTTGCGGTTAGAATTTGGGTTAGTAAATGACTGAGGGAGAACACATGAATATGGGAGCTGTTGAAAAAAAGCAGGAGGGGTGATAAGCCAATTGGGAAAATTTAAAGCAGAATCTGTTCTATAAAACATTTACTGATACAGAATATAAAAACAGGTGAAGTACTTCAGAATATATTGAAAAAACATACAAAAAATTCAAGGTTTGTCTTATCAATGGGTGGCATATTTTTCATGGTATTGTGGTTAAAAATTTGTAGGTTGGCTTTTTCATGGATATATATTTGCATATATATTTGCAAATAGTTTGCAAATATATATGTCAATAAAAGTTTGCTGTGGCTTTACGTTCAGAGAGTGTCTGTGTTCCCATAGAATCCAAGTTCATTCTATAAGAACAGAAATAAATAAAAAATACAGGATTTTTTTTCCTCCATTAAAATGTGAAGTTTAAGATCTGAGGCCTGACAGATCTTATGGCTCCTTAGCCTTTGTATTATTAAAAGTTTGCCTTATAGTTTTTCCTTACGTGCAACCAAAAAGTAACATTCTCTTGTCATCTGAATACAACATTGTCAGATACTAAGGGACAACATAAGCAGAACAGTTCTTTCAACTTTGTTATTTTAAAGACATCATCTGAAAAAAAGCTATATATTTCTAGTTTGTAGTTCATGTTGAATAAGCTAATATATTGTGCTGCCAATTTTATAATAATACCGTCAAACCACTGGAGAAGCTCAAAAATTGTCTTCATTTTCAATATTGGAATTTGAGTTCACTGAAGACTTCCAAAGTGTACTTGTGGATATTTTTTTAAAAAAGGAAAGTTCACACATTTTAAAATAGGCACTCATTTCTGAACAATTTATTATTGAGTCCATAGACAGATTATTGGAATAAAACAGGATTTTAAAAAATATTTTATTTGTCAGTCGAAAGGAATATTAACAAATTTGATAAACCTGACAGTTTTTTTAACAAAATAAAAGTCTGCATCTTCCCCTTTGCATTTTAAGTGTACAGTACATGCGGATATCCCAAAATTGAAACAAAAAATGGTTAGTTACAGATGTTTTAATTAGTCATTACATTTTTAATCTTCACTTTTTGTTGAAAATAGAATAAGTAATATATAAGTAAACGGCTGATTTGCTTGCAGTTTATTTCAATGCAGATATGTTGTCCTGTTGCATGATAGAAAGGTATGGTGAGGTGCTGTTATCTCACAGAAAAAAAATAACTGAAAAACAACTTATGTATTATTTTTCTTCCTGGTTTTCTTGCTTACCACCAGGGTGTATAACTCAGTGCAGCAATGCTGTTTAGTGTTTCTCAGGAAGAGGTCATTTTGATAGATTTGGATCCTCATGCAAGGTTAAAAGTTGCAAGTGCTGAAATGTCTTTTTTCTAAACATGCTAAGGCAGCACTAATTTTGTTCTCTGTTAAAACTGGACACACTAAAACTGCTGTTTAATGTCTTCTTATTTTCACATTTTAATGATCTAACAGCTTCTGTCTATTCAGAAATAAACTAGAATGGGTTCAGTGGGACATACTCCCTGGTAAAATAGGATAGAATTTCTACTTGAATATAATGCAACAGAAATACATTAATATTTTTATGATGTCCTGAAGTTGTTGCCCAGCAAAATAGTTGCATTATTTGGTTTCAGAATGTTGAGATTAATCCCAAATTCAAGAAATGGAACTCAACTGAGCTTCCTCTGGGCAGATTGGAAGAGCCACTGCATTGCCCATAATAGAAGATGCTGTAATGGAAGGGCAGAAAATGAGCTCTGAAAACCTTAATGGTGAAAATGTTCAAGAACACAATATGTTACAGGTGACAATTCTGCTAGTAGAGATTGAAATGGCGAATACTGCAAGTAATGTTGAAGCCACTGGATCCCAAATCCCTTCAGTTGCTTGGTTTCCTAACCAATTTATTTAGAGCTAGATTTTTTTCTTTATTTATTAACTGTTTCTACAAAATCAGAACTATTTTTGCAACTGTTTTGAAGTTGCATAACTATATTTTTAAGTTGCATTTTATGTTTGTCTTTAATAGAACAGCTAAATGTAGCAATTTATTTTGGGGGAAAAATAGTTAAGCAAAATTCTCCAATGGTAACAGTAGGAATGAATAAAGTGAGCGGAGTTTTCCTTGATGTGGAAATGAGCATAAATCAAGATGCAGTATTTTTTTTAAAAAAAGTTTACTTAATGAAGTCTCCTTTTCTCCTGGTAGAAACTACTTTTAGTCTATTCATCTTTACTATTTTGCTTAAACTGTCTAGCAAATTAGGAAAAATAGAATGAATATGCTCAATCCTCTCACCTGTGCAGAAATAATCATTAGGAATTCCTTTCCTTCAGTATTCACTTCAGTATTACTGATTTTTTTATTTTGGGTATTTGGTAGATTTGCTCACCTGTTTGTTTTTAATAGGAATTAATAGGAATTGTTATAATCATCTTATAGAAGCTACACTTTGCAACCTTTTCTAATGTGGACTGATACAAATCTAGTGCAGCCTCACCTCCTTGAGATGTGTTTGGAATTCAACACCTAGAATTCTCCAGCTAACATAGAGTTGAAGATTTCCGGGAACCAACATCCCATCATATCTGCAGAAGATGGAAGTTGAGGGAAATGACAGTATTGTTCCATCTGATTTCAAAGTGTAGCACATGAAGTACTTAGCATTGCAGAGTGAAAAATAGCTTGATTTAACTTTTTAGAACTAGGCTTTACAGCATGTTTGCTTGCTTGAGCACTGAACACAAGCAAAATGACAAAAAGGTTGCTTCCTTCTACCTTTGTTACTAGTAACTTTGAAGGTAAAAAAAAATTCTTAAAAAAAAAAAGTATTGTTGATTTCTACTGAAGAACATTCCCAGTGAATGAAAGGATAAGTTTGGTTTATAAAAGGGCATCAAGCAAAGTATGATGTTTCTACTAGTTACTTCAGGGGTCTTCAAACTTGGCCCTTTTATGACTTGTGGACTTCAACTCCCAGAATTTCTCACCAGTTGAAGTCCACAAGTCATAAAAGGGCCAAGTTTGAGGACCCCTGAGTTAGTTAGTGGAAAGTTCAAATCGAAGGATGACACATTAAGTGAAGCTAGAACATGCAGCACGCTGGCATAGTGTCATTTAGAGGCATGTAGCCTTCTTAAGGCGAATTCTACCAAGCAACAACAGTTCTATTTTTAGTGCAAGTTCTATTAAAACTGTGTAAGAGGAATGTAAAGAAAGCAAACCAATATGCA